ATGGACAAATACAGTTGTTGACACAGAGCTATGGATAAATACAGGTGTGTTGACAATAATACACCGAACAAAAAAAAATAGTCGGGCAAGGACAAAGCGGCAGGCCACATGTTGTAACATGTGGAGGGCGCGGCAAAAGTCGCCGCCGCCGCCGCCGCCGCCGCCGCTGGAGGTGTGCTGCGGTGCCCACCTGTACGCAGGGGGGGGCGGGCGGCGGCGTGCCAGCTAGAGCCTGGGCCACATTTGCTGGACAAGGAAGCCAGGTGCCAACACCACTCTGATCCTCCACGATGTATTAATGTCTAAGCTTTGGTGTGTCTTGCCAGCGGGCGGGCGGCTTGAATACCATCGTCCAGATGTTACCATCCCGCCTGGCTCGCCTCTAGCGCACTCGGGAGCCTCTGTTGACACCCGGGTGGGTCAGCAACAGTGAATTTATGCGCGAGTTTTAGGGTGAGATGAGGGTCGTGTTGTGGGAGATGGGGGTGTTGGGAGAGCTAGTTTAGGCTAGGTGGTGTTCTGGGAGCTGGGTCATAGTGTGTGTGGTAGCGAGCGAGGTGGTTGGAGAGCAGTTCGGGAGGTGGTAGTGGTAGCCACTGTGGAGAGACTTGTGGTGGTGGCGACCACAGCGCCACCTGTGCGGTACGTGTGAGTGTAGCAGCGGGCAGAGTGGTATTTGCTAGTGGTGTGGCCCTGAGGACAAGTAGCTGGGTGTGGCTCTGTGCCCTGCGCCACACTCTGGCTCAAGAACCGTGAGTGATGTCAACCTACCAGGCTTCTTGACCGTGTTTTGTCTACACCTGAAGCGTTACGCATGGGCCTTTGTTCTTGTGTGCGTGTTCATGCATGCATGCGTGAACACACGTGTACGTGCGTGCGTTCTTGTGTGCGTGCGTGCTTGGAGAGTGGTTCTCACGGTGGTGAGACGCAAGTGGGCGCCCTCATGTGCAACACTGGGAGGGGTGGGTGGGTGTGGGGCACAAGTGGTGAGACCTGGGTGACGGGTGGTGGTGGTGGCCTGTCGTCCTGGGTGACGGGTGGTGGTGCAGTGTCGTCCTGGGTGACGGGTAGTGCAGTGTCGTCCTGGGTGACGGGTGGTGGTGTGTCGTCCTGGGTGACGCAGGGGCTGCAGCAGCAACTGACTAACTACTCCCGGTGAGGAACTTGCCTTTAAATCAATCACACTTAACAAAATGAAGTTGATCATTTGCTCTTCTTCGTAACTTGTCAGGTTTGCTAGATTAAGGATTAACTGCAGTATAATAGCAGTGATGTAGGTGGCGGCCTGCCACCCCGGGAGCCGCAGGGGGGGGGGCCGCCTGCCACCCCGAGAGCCGCAGGGGGGCGACCTGCCACCCCGAGACACGTAATGTTGTCAACGCCTCTCCACAAATAATTATAGTTGGAGTTGTGTATCAAGGAGTGTTGGTGAGCGGTGGGGAGTGGTCACTAGGCGGACCCCAGCAGCACATTGCACCAGTTGCCCCCTGGGTAGCGCCTGTGGCTCGCCAGTGTAGTGGCCAGTCTCCCCTGGGCCAGTTGCTTACCACACACTAGGGGCTAATCCCGCTCTTTCTCCCGTGGGCGAGTGCTGTGCGTGGCTGTACGCACATAAACACATACGCTCATACATATACATGCATGTGTACGTTCCGGGGTGTGGATGGCTCGGGTTAGGTGTAACTAGTGAATGTGTTGGGGAGGGTGGGGGGGGGGGGGTAGTGAGGGAGGTTAGTGCACATGGAGACTGTCTGCCACAGCTGGTGGACCCGGAGCTTCGACTCAGTGATTGTTTACACGCACCCATGCTCGAGCGCGTATGTGAATCATTCCCGTGGTAGGATTATATGTTGTTGATGCAGAAAAATTACAACCCCCCTTCCCCCCCCCACTCCCCCAGTAAATCACAGGATACCCAGACAAGGACAGGAGTTGTCAAACATATTGTTTGAATATGATCCAGTGAATATTTGCAACATTCCTTAGATTGAAAGCGAAACAGCAAATAATGGGAGACTTCAATCTAGCACAAATTAACTGGGAAACAATGGATCCGAAATAGGAAAAAAAATAATGGAAAGTAAAACTGGTAAAAGTAGCAGACAGGAACTTCCTAATGGAACATATCAGGAATTAAACACGAATGAGGGTGGCTGGGAGACCATACAATGATGGTCTTTACACATATGTGGACATTGAAAGCATTCATCATGAATGCCAATGAGTGCCCACACTGCAGTTTTTTTTATTATATAGCTGTAATAAAAGCTTTGGAAATAGTCCTTGGTGACTTTATTCATGCGAATAAAGACAACAACTGTGAGAAGCAGGAGACGACGATGGCCTTCACGAAGAACAAGTGCACGAAGCTGAGTGAAGACAATAAATCTGAGAGATGTTTTATGGGATAGCACTTGAGGGCGGAGGGCTGCAGAAGGGTCATGTCCCCTCCTAAGTGATGGGGGTAAGATGCCAGGGTACACCACACACCTCTACACATAACACCATATATTGCTCCTTAAATGGCTGCAGAGTCTATGAAGTGTGCCGTGGAAGTGATATTTTCCAGTACCCATCCGGGAGCTGACGACCAGGAGACGAGACTTTCGGTTATATAGGAATATACTTTGTTCCTCCCGCTGGTTAATGGTTGGAGTTGATGTGTGGTGTTGGCGCTGCTGGCGGCGACCCCGTCACGCTGGGTTGTGTTGCTCTGATCCTCTTACTCTCCCGCACAAGTGTCCACCAGTGTGCAGGATTACTCTGGAATTTTAGTGGGGAGAGAGAGAGAGAGAAGGAGGGAGGGAGGGGAGGGGGGCAGAAGGGACAGGGTCAAATTTAGATAAAATAATAATAATAATAATAACAATTCTGCAAGTTAAGAGGGAGGAACAAGAGGAGTCCCTGGAGCCAATATGCTGGTTCACAAGGCTTGTGACGTGACCTCTTCCCGTCCCACTTCCACACTACCCTTCTTGTATTCCCTTACCCATCCCATGTCCCCTCCGTTATGGCTCCACTCTCATTGCTCCCTCCACACCATGTCCCTTCACGTTCCAGTGCCCTCCTCCACCTCCCACTCCTCCAATGTTCCCTCCCAACTCCAAGACCCCCCCCCATCCCTCCAGCACCCCCCTTCACGCTGTTGTTCCTCATCTCCTATTACGTTGTTGAATGGAATGCCTGGCTGCAGGCTGTTGTGTCTGGGAGGGAGGCGTGACTCAGGCAGCTGGTGTGTTGTTCCTCGGGAGGGCCTCAGGGTCGCTTACTTGCTCTTCTTCCCAAGTCCTTCCCGGACGCTGCTCCGAAGCGTCCGCAGTGTCGCTCGTTCCCATGTTGCTGTGGTCCTTGAGGGAAGCACCAAAGTCCAGGCTTGCCCACGACTGGTGCCTCAGCATCTTATAAGCAGCTCCTGCCCCCTTGCCCGTTATTGTCATCAGAAGTGCACCCTACGGGTTAGTTTTCACGGCGTGATCTCTATTAGGTGGCAACAAGCCAGCTGTGGCTCTGAGGATGGCATCCGATCGTTAACTTCCACCCCCTTCCCCTTCCCCCCCCCCATCAACAAGAAGCGAGTGTGTGCATACGAGACTGGTGGCGGGAAGGAGGGGGGGGGGGAGTGTTGGTGCTGGCCAACAATGGGCGGGAGCAGTTGTGGCCCATCATGCAGCTCTGGCCATCACAGACTCCACACCACTCGGTCAAGGACGAGCTGAGGTCAACACAACTCAAAATTACAATCCATGTGACTGCGAACCAGTGTTGTAGTTGTGTGGTGGTGTGTGTGAGTGGGTCGGAAGGTGGGTGTGGTACACACTCAGTCGTCATGACCTAAACTGACTGTATCTTGGTAAGATACGGTCATTTTAGGCGAGTGTTCAGCCCGTCCTCTCGAGTTGCCACAACGGACAGAAAATGATGTACTAAAACGCTCGATCCTAACCTAACCTAACCTGCTGAACACACATAGAAAACGTGAATGTTTGTGAGCCGCTATGATTTATTAGTACCCCTTTATTTGTCCTTTAGGGATGTTGACGTTAAAAATGCGGTGAAGGATGTGAGAGGAGAGGTGGGCCTGGTGCTGGGCCCACCTGATGCCATGAGCGGGCCGCAGGTGGGTCGTTGCCCTCACAGTTCACAAACCGAGCTTCAGCGCCAGGGCCCCACCTTTCCAACTATCAGTTGTTTAGCACAATGGCTCCATTCCTTCGTTTCTTATAATGTTTGTAAATATATGTAGCCTCTACCGTTGATCTTAATTCATTCCTCGTTACTTACCTCATACCGAGGAAGTTTCCTTGACATCTCTGTGCACAGACCGTCCCCTCCAGTTGTCACGACGTCACATATATGATGTACTAATTAGTCCGAAGTTAACCTAACTGAAGACCAACGAATATAATACGTAACAACCCGTCCATATTTTGACGTTGGGGATTTTTTCGTCAAAGTATTATTTCTAGAGCACCTAGTTGTACTCACCTAGTTGTGCCTGCGGGAGATGAGCTTCAGCTCTTTTGTCCCGCCTCTCACCTGTCAATCAACTGGTGTGTGTACTCACCTAGTTGTGCTTGCGGGGGTTGAGCTTTGGCTCTTTGATCCCGCCTCTCATCTGCCAATCAACTGGTGTACAGATTCCTGAGCCTACTGGGCTTTATCATATCTACTTTTGAAACTGTGTATGGAGTCAGCCTCCACCACATCACTACCTAATGCATTCTAACTACTCTGTTAGAATGCGCTTTGTTAATTACTTTGACACTGAAAAAGTTCTTTCTAACGTCCCTGTGGCTCATTTTGGCATTAAGCTTCCAACCTGTGTCCCCTTGTTCGCTACCACCCGTGTAAACAGTTTATCTTCCCTGTGTGTGTGTGTGTGTGTGTGTGTGTGTGTGTGTGTGTGTGTGTGTGTGTGTGTGTGTGTGTGTGTGGCGACGGCAGCTCCGGAGGAAGGTGAGGGTGTCAGTGTCAACCAGATGGTGAGGACAGTGCCAGAGTGCCGGCTGCTCCAGCACCACCACATGTCTCACCCTCGCTCAGGCACTTGGCACCTGAGGCAGCACCCAGTGTTCACGGTCACGCCCACCTTCCAGCAGCTTACACCAGTTCCAGGAACTTTCAGTGTTTAGTGTTGACGCTGACTCTGCGTTCCGGGAACCTCTAGGGGTTCCACGAATTTCCAGTGTTTAGTGTTGACAATGAATATGGTGTTCCAGAGGTTTCCAGGGGCTCCATAACTTTCCGGATTTTAGTGCTGACGGGGACTGTGGCGTTCCAGGAGCTTCCAGTGATTAGTGTGGCAGAGCTGCGGCTCATCAAGGACACCGCCTGACAATGGCGGAACAATCTGTTTTTTTCATGAATGATGACTAGTTGTGTCAGTGAGTGCGGCGGCAGCGGTGGGCGGCACATGGATGTTATCAGGAGTCGTGGGCGGCGGTGTATGGTGGGCGGCGAGTGAGAGGTGGAAGGTACTCCGGAGTGCAGTGACACAGAGATGCCTCAGTACGACGACGCCATGCTGGACCACGTGGGCGTGGGTGTCAAAAACGTGTTTTGGCCAGACCAGGTGGCGAGGGCGGCCAGGCACCCGCGGGCCAGGAGCTACAACCCACGCAGCCTGCTGGCCGCTCTCAAGAGGCACCGGGCCATGTACACCGTGTCGCCACCCTCTGCCACCACCCTCACACCTCCCATCGCCACCCTCGCGCCGACCACCTGCAGATCGCGTCAGCCGCAACGACACGTCCTGGCCCGCAGCCGCAGCTGCACAGAGGCCCACCTCACCTCGTGCCCTTCCTGGTCCAAGACGCCCTCGCCCACCTGGTCCAGGACGCCCTCGCCCACCTGGTCCACCCGCAGCTTCGCCGCCCTGGCCAGACACACGCCCACGCCCTCCTGCGTCAGTCTCCTCTCGTCCGGATCCTTCGACCCCTCTCCCTGCATTTCGCCTCGCCCTGCCGTCTCGCCACCCACCACGCCCGTGATCTCGCCCAAAAACTGCTGGAGAGGCAGCAGCGCTCCCGGCAGCCCTCAGTGGCCAGAAGCCCCATCCACCAGGCACAGGGCTGCGGGCTGGTCCACAGCACCTGGCAGCCCAACAGAGACGCCCCGAGGATGGCCGCCCACAGCGCCCCGCCGGCCGACCAGAGTGGGGGCGGGGGGTGGCGACCAGTGGGTGTTGTGCACCCTGGGCCGCCCACCGCCCGCCAGGAACCGCCGGGTCCAGAGGATGAACCAGCTGTCCATGGAGAGCAACGCTGCCCAGTACCATCTGTGGCTCCAAGGTCAGTATGTGGCCCCGGTGCCAGCTGCCAGGCACCACACCCAACACCCCCATACCACACCCAGAATTTTTCCCCATTTAATTTAAATCTAAACTTAATTTAACTCAAATATTTCTAGTTCTCTCATTTGGTTCATATTTTATAACCTTACTCGTATTCCCCTTTTTATACCTTTTTGCTAATTTGTGCATTTCCATAATGTCACGTCTTACTCTGTATTTCTAGAAATTGTAAATTGTTCCTTATTTTGTCTTCGTCAGGGAGTTTACCTGGCCTTGAACCTACCTTGAGGTGGTTCCTAATGCCTGGCGTTAACTTAGACATCCTTTTCTGAGTAATTTGGTCTCGTTCTTACTATCGTCATCTCGGAACACTTTGAGAAAATGGAACTCTTCTAATCAAGAAAGGTGAAACATTCGGACTAAAAATTGTATTTACTGCTCGTCCAGAACAGTAAAACAGTTAGGCAGCTTAAATAACTCACAATGTATTCTTTGGAACAGAGATTAGATAAAAGTGTCGATTTTATTAATGTACAATACTCTTAAGCTCGGCCCTAAACCACACGAAAACAACTAATTGGATTGAGAGTTACGATAGAAATTGCAGAATAAACCCAGTTAAGAGTTGCAATAATAAGAAGTAGAGAATATGACTCCCAGCAAATATAAGAAATATTGCTGGAACATCGGTTGTGAGGGATCAAGAGGCTACTAGACGGGAGCCGGTCGGGCGAGCGGACAGCACGCTGGACTTGTGATCCTGTAGTCCTGGGTTCGATCCCAGGCGCCGGCGAGAAACAATGGGCAGAGTTTCTTTCACCCTATGCCCCTGTTACCTAGCAGTAAAATAGGTACCTGGGTGTTAGTCAGCTGTCACGGGCTGCTTCCTGGGGATGGAGGCCTGGTCGAGGACCGGGCCGCGGGGACACTAAAAGCCCCGAAATCATCTCAAGATAACCTCAAGATAACTAGACGAGTTCCTGCAGGAAATATTTCATTAGTCAGCTGGAATTGTTCTGTTCTACAGGCTTCAAGTATTCCTTTGGTTACAAACGCAAATTTGACTTTGGTGATGATAATCCATACTTATAATGATGATAATAAGAATACCCCCACTATCAGGCAGCCATCTGGGAAGTCTCCTTTGAGACCCGGCCGCCTGAGTAGAAAATCTCGAAACTGGTCACAGGTAAATCAGACGCCAATTTATTTACTCCTGATACATCATCATCCATTAACCATTTATTGTCTCTTATAAATGACCCAACATTGGCGGAAGGTCCTACGGGCGCAGAGAGCGCAGGATATGTGAACCAAAAAGGTTAAACATCTGCCGGAGTTTATACACGTCAGGTGTAGTCCTTCAGTGTTTTCAGAGTAACATGCCAGTGTTATATTTGTGGTCAGTTTTCATCCACATGTCGATAAAGAAACGTTTTCTATGTAAGGATAAATAATGATTTTCTTTATTTGAAAATTAACCAGACAACAAACTAGAATAAAATGTTGAATAGGCACGACCTTTATACAGAAGTATCCCTTATTTTATTTTTCACATTTTCTCTGAATTTATATGCCTTCGCGTTTTCTATTTTAGTCCTTCTAGCACCAACAATTACATTTTCAACGAGTGACGAATCTATGATTGTAATACACACCAAGGTATACTTGTACGGGATGAGTTGTGGCTCTTGGGTCCCGCCTCCTAACCCTTAAGCGACTAGTGTATAAGCTTCAGAGAAAATTGGGCTGTCATTTAACCACATCACAATTAAGTTTTGTACACTTCCTGGAGGACTAGTTTAGTGTTTATGGATTTGACCGTACGGCTCAAACCCAGACCTCAACCAAGAACACCGAACAACGACGACATCTCTACCGAGTTTGAGCCACCGTCTTACCCAGTGTTTGAGTGGCTTCCATTCCCAATATTTCCCTATTTCTTCCCATGTGTATGATCACTTCACCTCACCCCACACAACTTCACCTCTTCTATATGTGTATTTATGAGATGATTGAGATTGAGGAAGATGACGGGAGACATCTCCCGTCACGCAGGGTGCGGTCCACCTCCACAGATCTTGAGTATCAGCTCTTGATACTAGTAATGGCTCAAAAGGGCCACCACTTACGGGCTATTCATGCCCGTGCTACCTCTTGGGTGGCTGAATCTTCATCAGTCATCAATTTTGTATATTCATTCCTAATCTGAAGATGTTCCAGAATGGAATGAAATGTTATAAATACTTTAATAATCACCGGAGTTTCTTTACCATGGGAAATTACTGACTCCCAACGACCTGACAGCACCAGTATAAAAAGCTTTGATTTGTTCATATCTGAAACATATAGCTATGGGCAGCACAAAACGTCCACCAGACTGTGCGACACAGTGGTTGCCAGGATCAGGTTGGGTTACCGTTACCTGTGGCAGGTGGCTACCGTTACTTGTGGCAGGTGGCTACCGTTACCTGTTGCAGGTGGCTACCGTTACCTGTGTCAGGTGGCTACCGTTACCTGTGGCAGATGGCTACCGTTACCTGTGGCAGATGGCTACAGGTGACGGGTCTCCTAATCCTGAGCACTCCAGATGCAAACTCTGTGAGCAGGAACAGGGGCATGATCTTGCACACTACATCACCGAATGCCCAGTTATTAGACCTTGAGGTTATCTTGAGTTATCTTGAGATGATTTCGGGGCTTTTTAGTGTCCCCGCGGTCCGGTCCTCGACCAGGCCTCCACCCCCAGGAAGCAGCCCGTGACAGCTGACTAACACCCAAGTACCTATTTTACTGCTAGGTAACAGGGGCATAGGGTGAAAGAAACTCTGCCCATTGTTTCTCGCCGGCGCCTGGGATTGAACCCAGGACCACAGGATCACAAGTCCAGCGTGCTGTCCGCTCGGCCGACCGGCTCCCTTTTGTTGGCATGAGTTGGCATTTTGTTGGCACCTGTTGGCATGAGTTACCTGGAGCTTTGCAATTACTTTATTCACTCACACGTGTTCTTGAAGATATCCTCATAATGCACCAAGAGTTTGCCAGTGCAGGCTACTGAACATATGGACCTGTATGACTAACCATCCTGCGAGATGGGGATTTTTAGCATCACGTAACTAGTTTTTTTTTATTGACACCGTACTCCTGTTCATATAGTTTAGGGTAGCGGCACAAATGCAAATGTACGTAAATGTGTTAATATAATAAATAGTATGAATTTCGGAGAACTTGATTGCTCTTCTTAATCCATGAAGAATTATACTATCTTCCCTTCAACTGAAGGGAACATACTTCTTATTATGAGTAAGCAAATAATTAGAAATATAGAAAGCTTATACAATAAGATCAACAACGCCAGCAGTGCGGTCATATTTTAACAAGTATATATATATATATATATATATATATATATATATATATATATATATATATAATATAATATAACTAGCTTTTCTTACCTAAATCAATTTTAGGGGTTAAGCTTGTAAGCTGACAGAGTACCTGTGCAACCTTTGCCACTACCGCCCACGTGATGGGTATGGGATGCATAGTGCATGAACTCCACTGTGTGAGCGCGCCGGCCTGTCTGCTGGTCCAGTACACAACTCAGGGGGTGTAGGTGGGTGTTGAAATCAAGTGACAAGCTCAAGTGGTCATGGGCGCTCAGGTTGAAAGGTTGCTTGCTGCGTGAGGCATCGGTGGAGGCGG